GATGAACTAAAGACATTTTTATTAATTTATATTTTAAAATCTTCCCAAAAGGAAAGCACAAGCAAATCTAGACATAGAATCAGCCTAGCAGTTTGGTGGTAGCCAGGCTGGTTATGTAAGGTCACATGAGGCATTTCCCTCCACTTCCATTGTTACTTCCCTCCTGTTGTTCAGTTTTTTCAGTTATATTGGAACCTTCCAGACCCATTTGGGGTTTTCTTGGCAAAGATACTGGAGTGGTTTGCCATTTCCCTCTGCAGTTCATTTTATAGATGAGGTAACTGAGGCAAACAGGGTTAAGTGATTTGCCCAGGGTCACACAACTAGTAAGTGACTGAGGCTAGCTTTGAACTCAGGAAGATAAGTCTTCCAAACTCCAAGCCTAGAGCTCTATTCGCTGTACCACCTATGCCCTAAAGAAAAGTGAAAAGAAGCCCCTCCCTCTGAGAGGTGGGACTGAAGGCCTTGGAAGAAAAGAGAAAGTCATAGCCCTAAGGGAGGAGCTGGGGAAGATGTGTCTCACTCACCTAAGAGGACAGTTGGAAATTATTCCTGCTCAGGAATTTGTTGCCTAAGTGGTGCAGTGGGTAGAAAGCTGGGTTTGAAGTCAAGAACTGAGTTCAAACATGACCTCAGGAATGTACTAGTTGGTGACCTTGGCAAGTCACTTAATCTTTGTATGCCTTAGTTTCCTCAACTGTAAAATAATAATATTATATTATTATAATGAATAAAAACACCTACCTCTTAGGGTTGTTGTAAGGATTAAATGAGATAATATTTGTAAAGTGTAAAGTGCTTAGCATAGTGCCTGGTACATGGTAGATGCCCAATAAATACCTTTCTTCCCTCCCTCCTTTTCTTCCTTCCTTCCTTCTTCCCTCCCTTCCTCTCTTCCTTCCTTTCTCCCTCCCTCCCTCCTTCCTTCCTTCCTTCCTTCCTTCCTTCCTTCCTTCCTTCCTTCCTTCCTTCTTCCTCCTCCCTCCCTCCCTTCTTTCCTTCCTCCCTTCCTCTCTCCTTCCTTCCTTTCTTCTTTTCTTCCACCACTGCTAAATAAGAGATAAATAATGCCCAACAGCTAGGTGGCAAGGTGGATAGATTGCTGGGTATGACTTTGGGAAGACCTAAGTTCAAATACTGCCTCAGGCTCTTAACAGCTGTGTGGCCCTAGGCAAGGCACATAACTTCTGTCTGCCTCAGTTTCCTCATCTGTAAAATGGGGGTAATAATAGCACCTACCTCCCAGGTTGTTTTGAGGATCAAGTGAGATAATGTTTGTAAAACACTTTTTCAGATGTAAAATACTACATAAATTATAGATTTTATTATTAGAGGGAGTGTGCAGGGGAAGCTCATGGGGTGTAGTGGAAGAATTCAGTCAAGGTAAAAAAGAATAGGATAACAATGTATATATGATATAACCATGATGATCACTCCTGTGCTGAGCACTGCCACTGCTTGAGGAAATGGAGCTGGACCGAGCAGAATAACTTCATATTAGACCAGTAGAAAAAGATGGTTTGATTTCCTAAATGATGAGAGAGAAAGTCAGGTGGAGGTGTCCTGATCAAGTTCTAGATGCTGCAAAATGTTGCAAGGACATGGATGTTGCTCTTTTACAGTGGCAAAATATCATCCTTAAAAGAATATCAAACAGCCTAATGTAAACACCCTTTTTAGGAAAAATACAAAATGAAATATTGAAGGAAAGAGAAAAATTCAGAGGAACTGGAATTCTTACTAATGACAGAACACCAGAGCAAAATAAATAAGTGGAACTTGGTCAAGAATTTGGAATCATTTTCATTGATATCCCAGTTATCGGATTCATTCAGGTCAATCTCCTTTGCTGGCTTATTATCATGTTTCCTAACTGTGGGTTTTTCCCAAGGCTCTGCCCTTGACCTTCTTTCTCTATACTTTCTCAGTGACTCATCAGCTTCCATGGGTTTTTAGTATTATCTCTAATAATGCAGATGACTCTCACATTTATATATTTGTGTCTAATCTCTCCCTAAAACTTCAGTCCTGTATCACTAATTGCCTCCTGGACATTTCAAATGGGATATACGAGAGATATCTCAGACTCAATATGTTCCAAACAGAAATTATTATGTTTCACTTATCTTTTGAACTTTCCTTTCTGTTAAAGGCACCCAAATTCATAATCTTGGCATGGCTCATTACTTTCCCTTGCCCCACATAACTAATTTCCAAAGCTTATCATTTCTAAATTCACAACATATCTTGAATCTGACCACTTTCTACTCACCTAGCTACCACCTCAGGTTGAGCCTCATCATGTCTTACCGAGATTTTGTGCGTGAGTGTGTGCGTGTGTGTGCATATGTGCGCATGTGCGAGCACGAGAATGGCTTTTGGTGAGACAGTTGGGGTTAAGTGACTTGCACAGGTCATACAGCTATCAAGTGTCAAGGGTGTGAGGCCCGATTTGAACTCAGGTCCTTCCGATTCCAAGGCTGGTGTTCTATCCATTGCCCCTTACCTAGATTGTTGTAACAGCCTTCTACTTGGTCTCCCTGCCTAAAGTCTCTTTCTATTCCAGTCTCTCCCCCAATCTCCAATGATTTCCAGTAAACATTTTTTAAGTACCTACTATGTGTTAGACACTGTGCCCAGCACATTCTCCACACTGCTGACAAAGTGATTTTTCTTATGCAAAGTTCTTGTCATGCTACTTTCCTCAGTAAAATGCACTGACATCCTATTTTTTTTCTAGAATTAAATACAAATTCAATAGTGATTTAGAACATTTTTTTGTAGGACACTGATCTTCAAGCTCAGGTCTTATCATGTCACCTCATCCCCCCTCTTACAAACTCCATTGCTTCTTGTTACCTTGAGGGTCAAATATAAAATCTTCTTTAGCTTTAAAAGTCCTTCATATGCTGATCCCCTTCCTGCCTTTCCAGTTTTTATTTTTGTTTTGTTTTGTTTTTATAATTTACTCCCCTCCACACACTCTGTGATTGGTCTGTTTCCCTGCTGAATTTGATCATTTCTATAGTAAACTGTGCATACGTGTGTACGTTCAACCTTCCTTTGGTTCAGACAAGAGTGAAGTTCCTCTAATGCCTGATCTCTCTCCCTCCCTCCACGTTTGTGTGCCTCTACCTCTATTAGAATGTTAGCCCCTTATCATCATACAATTATTTCCAATTGCTCAAAGAAATTTACCTTCCTAGGTTTCTTGTCACTCTTCTGTTCATATGCCAATGCTCCTGCTCATCTCTGGGCTTTTCATCAGGGATACTTGAACATCCCTTTCGAGGTCCATTTTTTTCCTCTCTAGGAAAATATACTCTGTACTCAACTTTGTAGGGTAAGCTATTCTTGGTTGTGAGCCAATCTCTTCAGCCTTTTGGAATATTGTATTTGAAGAATAGTTTTCTCCTGTTTGTTGTTTTGTCCTTCAGTTTCCAAGAGGACCAGTGACCTCATGGGGGATGTCTTGACTTGTGTCTGAATTGGATTTAAGGGAGGTAGAGTTGTACAAAGCCCTCAGCCTCAGTCTCTTTTCCAGAATTATAGTCATAGAGCTTTTTTGTTGTTCAGTAATTTTCAGTCATGCCCACCTAACTCTTCATGATCCCATTTGAGATTTTCTTGGCAAGAAAACTGGAGTGTTACATCATTTTCTTCTCCAGCTCATTTTGCAGATGAGGAAACTGAGGCAATCAGACAGGGTTAAGTGACTTGCCCAGGGCCACACAGCTAGTATCTGCGGCCAGATTTAAACTCAGGAAGATGAGCCTTGCCTGGCTCCAGGCCTGATGCTCCATGTACTATGGCACCTCCTAACTGCCCAAAGTCATAGAGTTAGTGTTTGGCAAGAATGGGGCTTGAACTCACTTCTTCTAATTCTAAATCCACTTCTCTTTCTTCCTTTTTCAAGGTTATTGTATAGATTGTTCTTATTATTTTTATAACGTAGATAGATATTGACTTTATGTATGTACATAGATTTTAAGTTTATATTATTGATTCTGTATTATTACCATTATATATTCAGAAAGACATTTCTTATCAGAATTATTGTAATGTGGTGATAGTTGGGTATTTGTTTTTATAAACATCAACTGCATAAATTAAAAATATCTATTCTTACTTTAAAAAAAACCTAGATCTTGAACCTCATTCTTCTAATTCTACATCCAAATCTCTCTCTATTACACACTGGAAATGATGCTTTTCAGACTTTGCTTTTCATTCCACCAAGCTCATTAGTGGTTTTTTTTTTTAAGGCAATTGGGGTTAAGTGACTTACCCAGGGTCACACAGCTAGTAAGTGTGTTTGGTCTCAGGTCAGATTTGAACTCAGGTCCTCCTGTCTTCAGGGCCAGTGCTCTATCCACTGCGCCAGCTAGCTGCCCCCAAGCTCATTAGTTTAAAGGAAAGTCATGTGTGGTCACTGTCTGCTTGGGGAAGAGTGTAATAGACAGTGAAATATATCAATTGGCTGCCTCCTAAGCATTGGACATTCTGTTAGGGAGCTGATGACCTCACTGTGTTACTACCAGGCCCCCAACGCCCAGAACCAGCTCTGGAACATGGCAGGCCTCAGAGAACAACTAGCGCAACCCTCTCATTTCACAGATGAGGCAACTGAGGAAAGGGTTGGGGAAAGGGGTGTAAAATGACTTTCCCACACAGGCAGTAACTATGAGAGGTAGGATTTGAATCCAGGTCCTCTGGTTACAGAGCTGTATTCCACTGACCTTTTTCCTTTTTTTTTTTTAATACATTTTGGGGGGTAGCTAGGTGGTGCAATGGATAGAGGACTGGCCCTGGAGTCAGGAGGACCTGAGTTCAAATCCGAACTCAGACACTTGACACTTACTAGCTGTGTGATCCTGGGCACGTCACTTAACCTCATTGCCTAGCAAAAAACCCCCCCAAACAAAACAAAATATACTTGAGTTGAGCAAAGTTGGAAGTTTGCTAATTTTATTCAGTAAAGGTTTTTTTTTTAAATGAGGTATTTGCTATTTTCATACTAGCTCCATCTTTAATGGGGCAATTACAACTTGAATGTTGAGTAAGGTCAACAAGGAAGAGTACATAGGACCATTAGCTGAAGACAGCATTTCTGTTGTTGTCCAGCCATTTCAGTCATGTCTCACTTTTTGTGACCCCATTTGCGGTTTTCTTGGCAGAGACACTGGAGTGGTTTCCTATTTCCTTCTCCAGCTCATTTCACAGATGAGGAAACTGAGGCAAACAGGTTTAATCGACTTGCTCCTTAGCATTTTGAGCCTTCAGCAGACTGGAAATGGAAGCAAAAGAAAGGATAGCTAGTATGCTGGATCAGTGTCAGTAGTTAGGGCTGTATATTAGAGACCCCGAGATAATATTGTGGGTAGTGCTAAAGTAATAAATAAAATGCCAAAGAAAATGGTGGCATGCGGCATTCTTTTTGTGTTCTGGTCTAATATTGAGACACTGCTGCTGGGCTCACAAGGCCTAAGCTATTGCACCACTCCCTTCTCTATGAAGGGGGTCTCTGCTCTTCGACCAGAGATGCTCCTCCTGTGGTTAAATCCTGCCTATAATTAAGGGGATTAGTTTCCCCCTTCCTTACATTCTTCAAATGCATCAAGTCCCCTCTCCAGTGCTCTGGGGGAAAGCTGCTTAAGGTTAGGGTTATGGCTCAAGTCTAAGTGTCCCCAAGGAGGAGAGAAAAAGAAATACTCTCTGCACAATGTGAGTCAGGTATGTGGCAGGTAATTCATTCCCACACAAAAAATGTGTCACATTAACAAAACAATCATAATAGAATTCAGTAACAACTTATAACTATTGTTACAATCATCAGAACACAAAGCAATTTGCAGTAGTGCTAATCAGGCATTTTACATTTTACCTTGTCTTGTACTGTACTTACAATTCTGCTGGCAAAAGGGCCACACTTGGCTCCATTTTCCTGTCAGAAGCTTCCCTTGCCACCAGCCAGCTCCAACCCAATGAGACATAAAGCCTCGGGACCTTTTCAACTTGCAAGATTGCTTCCAAACCTGCCATGTCCATCTCAGCACATTCTTTCACCTAAAAAAAAAAAAAGAAGCAAGCACAAAGGAGAAGGAAGTTGTTACTTGGAAAAAGTCCCCACCCCTTACCAAATCACATAATGTTTCCTGAAGAGTTGTAGTTGAGAGGATCTCAGGCCAAAGCTGATTCTTTTTTTGGTTTGTTTTGTTTTTGCTTTTTGGTGAGGTAATTGGGGTTAAGTGACTTGCCCAGGGTCACACAGCTAGTAAGTGTCGTGTCTGAAGCTGCATTTGAACTCAGGTCCTCCTGACTCCAAGGCCAGAGCTCTATCTACTGCACCACCTAGCTGCCCCTGATTCTTCTTTTAAAATGTCCACTGAGTCCACGGCGTCCAGCTCCACAGCCAATAAAAGGACTCATTATCACCCAAAAGTGTGAGCCATTTCCTTCTGAATCATACATGCCCCAAAGCTCCCATGTCGCTGAGCAGAAGAAGGAAGAGTGGCTCTGAGCATGCTCATGAAGGGGAATGGTCCCTGCTGTCCTCATCCTTGAAATTATTATTGGTTCTTTTATTGCTTCAGAGGCTTTGCTCTCTGCTTAGCCTCATTCCTAACCATTTCATTAGCAAACATAACCAGCCAAAACTGAAGAGGGCCTTTGAGATGCACGCACCTACTCTTGAATTTAATTGAAATCAATTAAGAGGACATCTTACATTCCTAATGTTTCTCGTCTGTGGATGTTTGGGGCTTCTAACATTTCCAATTTTCTTCTTGCTCTTTGCCCCAGGAATCCCAGGCCCATGCTCTTCATTTTCTTCGTCCTCTGTTGTACAGAAAACTTTTTTTTACTGCATTCATCAATCCATGCCACAGCCTTGGCTGAAGGCAGTCTCCTTTGGGCCAGCAGTGACTGCCTGACGCCCCAACCTGATATCCAAACCTCATTCTTCTCGATAACCTTGTTCAGGGGAAGCTGCAGCAGCCAATTTTTGTCATTCTGCATGGGCTTACTCTTTGTCTCCCATTTCTTTGCAAGGCCTCGGGAAGCTCAGTTCCCAGAAATCACCAGCTGGGTGGTAAAGCTTAAGATTCTGTGGTGAGCCAAGAAATTATCCATCACAAAAGAAAGAATGAGCTTCAACTGAATTCTAACATCAGTTTCCCTAGTTGCATTGAAGAGTGTTTTCTTTGCAAACCTACCCCCAACAGCGCGGGCAAAAAGACCAGTATCTGGAATGAAGCAAAGAATTCTTGAAGATGGAAACAGCATTTATAATTATGCTTTACTTTGTGCCCTTGGACCTTGAGGGATCCTCAGATTGTCATCATTTAATGGGTACCCAGACAACGTGAGTAGGATCCAGCAGCTACTCTGTGGAGGAAAAAATGAGAAAGAAGCCACACAGTAATGTAAAAAAGTCTGCCTGGAATTTCAATCCTTCTGGAATTGGGGAAAGTGCAAGCCATCTTTCCAGTTGGGATTTGGTTATCGACACTGAAGTCCAGGCCCTGCAATTCTTGTGAATGTTCTGGGGTCAAGACTTTCACAGATTAAATTCTTATGACTACTGCTTAATATTCATGAACCATTCTCTGGGTGCATGACCCTTTGGAGTTTCCACAGGACATAGAAAAATGTGTATTTCTTATCCTCCAACAAAGAAGCATTCCTGTACTCTAATCTAGGAGAGATAAGATGGTGAAGCCTATAGCTTAGAATAACAACCATTGTATTCACATTGGTGGAGAATAGAGCAGAAAGGGGAAACTTTGAAGAAAAGGGAAGCTGATATAGTACTACTAGGATCCTTAAATCATTCATTCATTCATCAAATTTAAATTGTTTGAAGATGTTTCTGTGATAGTCTGTGGGAGACACAAAAGTTACACAAGAGATGAGTATGGTGTTTGTTGTTGTTGAGTGATTTTAGTTGTGTCTGAATCTCTGAGACCCCAGTTGGGATTTTCTTAGCAAAGATATTGGAGTAGTTTACCATTTCCTTCTCCAGCTCATTTTACAGATGAGGAAACTGAGTCAAACAGGGTTAAGTGACTCACCCAGGGTCACACAGCTAGTAAGTGTCTGAGGCTGGATTTGAATTCAGGTCTTCCTGACTCCAGGGCTGGCACTCTATTCACTGCATCACCTAGCTGCCCAGATACAAGATGGGTATGTTCTTATGACGTAGTATGAGAGATAGACACATCCCCTAATAACTACAACAGAAGGCAGCATATGATAAGTAACATATAAGAGAATCACAGAATTTTTGAGGTAGAAGGGATCTGAGGGCATCTAGTCCAATCCAAACCTGGAAAGGAATCTCTACTATAACATACCTAACAAGTGATTATGTAATCTCTGCCTCTCCTCTAGCAAAGAGGAATCCACTACCCACTGAGGCAGCATGTTCCATTTTGAGTAGCTCTAATCATTAGGAAAATTTTCCTGACACCAAGTCTGAATCTGCCCTTTGTGATTTCTACCCATGGATCTTTGGCCCCTCTGGAGCCAAATGAAACAAGATTCATTTCTCATCCATAGGATAGTCCCTCAGATACCTGAGGACAGCTATTATGTACTCCCCTCAGTTTTCCCTTGTCCAGGTTAAATATCCCTAGTTAATCCAACCACACACCTAACATGACACCAAACTGAAGGCTCTGCTATTCAGGGTATCCCAAAAGGCTTAGTGCAGTTAAGCTTTAATAGTTTAAAACTGCATGAAGACTTTTGGGACTCCTTAAATATCAACTCTCATTGTGTTTGGGCAATGATAGGGATGATTGTCTCTAACTTGTTATTGTCCTTTTTTAACCGTGGTGCCTAGAACTCAACACAATGCTGCAGATGTGGTCTGACCAGGGCAGAGTATTATCGTCTCCTTATTCCTGGAAGTTACTGCATCTCCTCATTCAGCCCCAAATTGAATTAGCTTCTTTTGGCTGCTACATCACACAGATGACTCCTATTGAGTTGGGAGCCCACCAAAACCATCCCCCACATCTATTTTAGATGAACTGTTAACTAACTTACCTCACTCCATTCTGTACCTTGGAGCTGGAGTTTCCAAAGTTAAGCGTAAGACTCCACAAGTCTTCTTCCTGAATTTCATCTTATTAGATTCAGCCAGCTGCCAAATGCTTATCAAAATCTCTTTGAATGTTATCACCCATTGTCTTAACTATGCCTTTCAGCTTTGTGTCTTCTGCAAGTTTAATGACTTCTCATCTGTGCCTTCATATACAGTAAGTCAGGGTAAGGGTTACTCTTGGAGCATAGCCATTGAACCAACCTCAGATCTATCACACAATCATACAGTCAAAGACCCACTACTGCCTCCACAAGAATAGCTTGAGATACTTCACTAAATGCTTGGCCAAAGTCCAGGTCAACTCTATTTACCACCTTCCTGATATCTACATTTAGTATACTGTTTTTTCCCCCAAGAGCAAAGATAGTCCACCATGACCTGTTCCTGATGAATTCATGATAATTTTTTATGTAATCACTGCTTCCTTTTCCAGATGTCTCTCGACCATTTCTTTAATGGTCTGGTCTAGAATTTCCTCCCAAATCAAAGTCAAGCTCATTGTCCTATAGTTTGTAGAGTGTATCTTTTCCTTTTTAAAAACTAAGAAAACATATGCCCTTCCTCAGTCTGACAGACTTCTTCCATTTTCTATAAACTTCTAAATACCACTGACTGTAGCTCAGCAACCACTTTCTTCAGTACCCTTCAGCACAGTCATCAGACCCTAGATCAGCTGGACCATGTGATATGAATTCCTCAAGGGGAAATGAGTTCTCTCTTACAATCTCTTTACTGATCTCAGGTTTCAATTCTCTATTTGCCATTTTTATTCTGTCCAAGGTCATTCTTCTTGCAGAGAAAATAGAAGCAAAACAAGATTTAAAAATGACCTAAATCTGCTTTCTCTCCATTTGCCAATATCATGAACTCAACCCCTCCAAAATCTCCTATGTAATTTCCTATCGTTATTTGGTTCAAGGCTTTCTCTCTTGCTTTTTTCCCCCATAGAAGTTGAAAGCAGGCTTACACAAAGGTGTGGGGGTCAAAAACTTTAAAGAGGGTTTGGAGAGTGAACAAATAAATAAATCAGTGGCAATTTGGGTATCCTTAGACTGAGAATGTATTGAAGAGTGCATGGCTAATTCACCTCAGAGAGGGGGCCCACTCACGGAAGCCTGGATTGACATCATAGAATCATAGAATGTTTGAGAAGGAAGGGACCTGGTATTTCATTTTGACAAGCTCATTTTACAAATGAGGAAACTGAGGCCTAGATATTTTAGGTGATGTCCCTAAATTCACCCAGGTAGCAAGAACTCAAATCTATTTCATAGTCCTGTTTCCTTCAGTGTATCTCCATTAGCACAACCTCCAATTCATGATTACAAGGTTGCTAAAACTGTAAGATCACAGAAGGGGTAGGCAAGGACAAAGTAGCAATTATGGGTTACAATTTTCAGAGATCAGGTAGCTAAGGTCTCTTAAATGTAGACCTTAGATGAAGTGTAGCTCTCCCCTAGATATACTACTATGGAGTGGATTAGAAATATCACTTTCTTCTTCAGGTAGGCAAGCGCTGCTCAGAGTATCCCTTGTTCCTATAAATTTGGCCTTTAAGGATTTCTGAGGAGAGTGCTATGATAGGAAAAAGGCAGGTAGGATAGAGTGTCCTCTGCTCTGACTACTGACCTCAAAATCCAGCCTTCTACAGGAAGCCTTCCCCAACCCTTCTTAATTCCAAAGCCTTCCTCCAGTTAGTGATTCCTATTTATCTTGCTTCCTATATATTTGTTTGTTTACATGTTGTCTCACCCATTAGATTGTAAGCTCCTTGAGGGTAAGAACTGTCTTTTGCCTCTTTTTGTATCCCTAGCACTTAGCACAGTGCCTGGCAAATAGCAGGTACTTAAATGTTTACTGATTCATTGAGACCCCATTCTGGACCATCTGAGCATAGAGCTCATCTTAATGGCTATACAAAGAGGACAATGGAGGTGATCAGATCAGGAAGAGGGCAGAGAAGGGCTGATCAGATGTGAATGACAGGGAGGGGACCTGGGACTGGCCAGAGGGGTGGAAAGAGGATCAGGCCAAGGCAGCAGATTGTTATTTGTTAGACAATCTCGGTCCAGTTCACAGCCCTGTTACACCCCACCTCTTCATCCTTGGAGCAGTGAGCTGCTTCCCATTTTCTTATCCCCTCGTTTTCCCCTCTGATCCAGTGGGAGGAGGGGAAGATGAAGAGAGGAAGTGAGGCTTTTTGTCCCCTGTTAGTCTTTCAGCCAAAGTAATTCTAATTTTGGAAAATTTATTCCTAAAATTGCTTAATTGTTTCTATGTGATTTGCAGTTGTTTTAAGATGGTCATCTACCATTGAATTGGTTTGCTTGTGAATACAGGAAACAGGATTGAGAAAGTAGAACATAACCCTAAAAGGGACAAGAGACAAGCTGAGATTGGGTGGAGCCAAGAGAGAGGGAGTCCATCTGCAAAGAATAATAAATTTTCCCAAGTGATTATGCACATATTACATACACATATTAGGTATTTTGTTGTTCAGTCATGATTCTCCATGACCTCATTTGGGGGTTTTCTTAGCAAAGATACTGGGTGGCCATTTCCTTCTTCAGCTCACTTTACAGATGAGGAAACTGAGTCAAACAGGGTTGAGTGACTTGCCCAGGGTCACACAGTTAGTAAATGTCAAATGTTTGGTCTGAGGTGGGATTTGAACTCAGGTCCTTCTGAGTTCAGGGTCGGTGCTC